TCCCTTCTCCCTGAGTCTACTTTTATCCTTTACGGTAAGGTGAGATTCTTGTATACCTCAGATATCCAGTCTGAGTTTATGTATCCAGTATATGCCTCTTTAGAGGACAATTTAAGCCATTTACATTAATTGAGAGAATTGAAAAGCCTGGTTGTGTTTTGGGTATCATGATTTTCAGCAGTTCAGTGGACATTTTTAATCCTTTCACCACTGTGGTAGTGGTTTTACTTTGGCCATAGAGCATTGTGCTGGTCATTGTGGTGGATGGGTCTGAGAATATCCTGGAGAGCTGGTTTAGTTATGGCAAATTTCGTAAACATGTCTATGTCATTAAAGTATTTGATTTCTCCATCATAAATGAAACTCAGTTTAGCTGGATACAGGATCCTGGGCTGGAAGTTTTGTTTTAGGAGATTGAAGGTCGATGACCCATCTTCTTCTGGCTTGAAACATTTCGGCTGAGAGATCTGCAGTCATTCTGATATTTCTCCCTTTGTAGGTGATGCTTTTATTATGTTTGGCTGCTTACAGAATTTTCTCCTTCACCTTAACTTTGGCAAAGTTAATCACAATGTGTCTAGGAGATGCTTTATTTGGATGAGTCTTGCTGGGCTTCTGAAACTGTCTGCTATCTGAAGTTCTGTATCTCTTGCAATGCTTGGGAAATTCTCCTCCAAAATCTCTTGGAGTAAAGCATCTGTACCTTTAGGACCATCCTCTTCTCCTTTGGGAATTCCTATAAGACAAATGTTTGACCTTTTGGAGTGATCCCACAGCTCTCTCAGGGAGTGATCAGTTTTTGCTCTCCATTTGTCTGCCTCTTTGAGTGTTTGGGAACGTTCAAAAGCTTTGTCTTCAGTTTCAGAGATCCTTTCTTCTGCCTGGTCAACTCCATTACTGAGGGATTTTACTGCATTTTGGAGCTCCTCAACTAACTTTTTGTTTCCTTGAGCTCTGTTATCTCTTTTCTTATTATGTCCATATCTTTGGTGACTTGGGCTTTGAACTCATTAATTTCTTGAGACAACGTTAGAACTACTCTTAGAATTGATTTTCTATCTTTTCTTCCATTCTGTTTATCTTATTTGCAATCCATATTCTAAATTTGATTTCTGACATTGTTGCTGATTGTCTATGCATGGCATCTTCAGTTGTATCTCCTTTGTCATTTCTTGAGGGTGGGGATTGATCTACTCTGTTTATTCATGTTCCAGAGATCTTGCTGTTGGGTTTGCACCATGTTTATTTTCCACCATTTTGTTATTAGAACTGGTAAGGTAAGATTGAATTGGGGTTCCCAGGTAGTAGAGATAGCCCCTTATCAAAGTGCTAGGCTTTGTAATTGTGGCTTATATCCTCCAACCTTACAAAGGCTCCTTTCAGAGTTTTGGCTGGAGACTTAGAAGACCTACTTGGTGAGATAGGCACAAGCTAGCTGTTTTTATATCAGCCAACCTTTACCCTATCCTAAGAAACCACAGTATTAAGTTTAAATCTTGACTCTGAAGAGAAAACAGCATTGGCACCCAGGCCCCACCCTTTAGTTCTTTTCTGCTACAGAACTTTGAAGGTCAACCTCAGAATGTCCCCTGTAGATAACCCCAGAGACAGGTTCCAATTAAATTGTCTCAGGCAGTGCAAACCCTGCTCAACAGAGAGGGATTTAAGGGTCTCCACCAGCACAATTGGAGCCAGGGATCCACACTCCCTCCCTCCAGACTCAGTCCACATTGTTGTCTGTTTCTCTGTTTGCAGGCCCAGTTGGAGCCAGGGACCACGCCTCCGCCCACTGGTCTCAGGCCACACCCAGCTAGCCTTTGCTTGCCAGAACCGCTGGAGTCAGGGGACCACGCCCCTGCTTGCCAATCTCAGTCCACTGCCTGGCAAGCTTCTGTTTGCAGGCTCTTTTAGAGTCAGGGCACCTCACCCTGCCCACAGGTCCCAGTCAGCCTCTGCTCACAAGCCCCGCTGGAGATAGGACCACGCCCTAGTCCTTAGGTCTTGGTTCACACTCAGCAAGCTACTGCTCAAGAGTTCTGTGGGATTCAGGGGACCATGCCCTTGCTCTCAGGTCTCAGTCCATGCCTACCAAGCCTCTGCTCGCAGGCCCAGTAGGGGCTGGGGACCAGCCCTATCTGCTGAACTTAGGCCACACAGGGCAACTACTCTCCTGCTGTGGGTGCTGTCAGAGCCAGGGGTTCTGCACCCCGTCCTGCCAGACACCGCCCAAACCGAGGGTCAACACCACCAGTGGCTGGAGATAGTCATAATCAAGGGACTGCTCCACCTGCTGCCAAGTGTCCCTTTCTTCCCACTCCCTCTTTCTTCCCCATTAGTCACAGATTCCATCCTAATGGTTGGCGGTCCACACTATGCCCAGATCTCTCAGGACAAGACCAAACACTCTGTGCTCTGCAGGGGGCAGAACTTCAGACAGCCATGCGAGGGGGAAAGGGTGGACTGGGAGTTTGGACTTATGGGGGAAAATATCTGTTCAATTTTATGCCTGGGGGTGGTGGTATCTAGGTTCATAAGTGGGACCTCCCGGGAGAAAGAGACTTGGAGTTTAGTGGCTCTCTCCAGTGAGGTAAAATGAGAGGTCTCTTGTTCCTTGCTCATTCGTAGATAACCTGTGGCAGGGCTCCTGCTTAGGGGAGTGGTCTCCCATTCCTCTAGTCGATAGGCTTTGTACCTGTAATTTGTTTTCTTGAATGCTCTTCCTTAGAGTTACAGCTTGCTGAACTTCTTTCTTGGCTCAGTGCCCCAACTTTGGCTTCATAGAGTCCGATTCTGTCCAGTTTTTCTTCCTCTACTCAGGAGCTTCTGCTGAGGGTTGCTACCAGTTGGCCATCTTCCCAGAATTCCTTAGTCGACAGATTCAATACAATCCCTATCAAAATCCCTATGAATTTTTTTTTTTTTTACAGAAATAGAAAAATCCATGCTAAACTTCATGTGGACTCTCAAGGGATCCCTAAATAGCCAAAACAATATTGAAAAAGAACAAAACCAGAAATATCCTTTTCCTCATTACAAAACTTGCTACAAAGCTACAGTGATTAAAATGGTGTGATACTAACACAAGGACAGAGCACTTAGAAAAAGGAATAAAGAATAGAGCCCAGAAATAAAGTGTCATATATATGGTCAAGTGGCCCAAGAGTGCCAGGATCATTAAGTGGGGAAAGGAGTTATACACAGTGTTTTCAACAAATGGTATTGGGAAAACTGAGTGTGCACACGTGAAAGAATATGGTTGGACCCTTACCTCACGGAAAAATGAACTCAAAATGGATCAGAGACCTAAATGTCAGAGCTAATACGTATATGAGACTCTTAGAAGAAAACTGAGGGACAAACCTTCATGACATTGGAATTGGCAGTAGGTACAGTGTGTCTTCAATTTGCTAAATATGTATTTGAATATACAGTGGGCCCTTTGTGCCCATGAATCCATGGATTCAACCAGCCCCAGCTCAAAGATAATTGAGATAAAAAAGCACCTGTACTGAACATGGACAGGCTTTTTTTCTTATCATTACTCTCTAAAGAATACAGTGTAACAACTATTTACATAGCATTTACATTGTATTAGTTATTATAAGTAATGCAGAGATAACTATAGGTTATGTGCAAATAATATGCCATTTTATATAAGGCCCTTGAGCATCCTCAGATTTTTGGGGGGCAAGTCCCCACAGATACCAAGGAACAACTCTACACAGTGTTATGTTATAAAATATATTTTACTTAAGAAACTGATGCAAGAGATCTATGTTTTAACAATAGCTTATTTAGATATAATTCACACAGTGTAAAATTCAGCCACTTATACAGCACAGTGATTTTTAGTATATTTATATAGTTGTGCAGCCATCACCACAATCTAATATTAGAACATTTTCATCACCCCTCCCTCTGCAAAAACACCCCTCATCCATTAGCTGTCATTCCTTATGCTCACTTTCCCCTCCCCCAGCCCCTCCGCCCTACCTGCCCAGCCCTGGTCAACCAGTAATTTACTTTCTTTGTCTGTGGAACAAGTCTGTACTTTAACATGTTTTCATTTTCATTTCATCTCTTCTATTAATGGCTTTGTAAGATAGTAGTTTAAAAATTATTCACAGGTGTTTTACTTTCAATGTTTCAGTTAAAGATTAAGAGTTTGAGTCTGTATGGTGGCTTTCAAATCCAGAGCACTTACCAACAATAATTGTCATCAAAATTGGTATTACACGAGTTGATGGTATTTAATGAAGTAATCTATTTAAAAGGGGCTTGTTTTTGTAAACTTTGTTTTTACTTGTTTAAAAGTATATTATACGATTGAAGTTTATGAATGAGGATGTTGATATTTACTTGGTTAACATTTAGTCTTTCATGGTATTTGTTTTTCTTTGTACAATAGGTAGCATGTAGAGGACAGGGTGGATTTGGGATAGTTAGGAGGCTGCCGTTAGGGTACAGAAAGACAAAAAATTGTAAATTGTTAGGAGGTAAAGGATAGAAAGTATTACTTTATGATAAGCAGCTATTCCTTACCCTCCACCATCTAATGTGGATGCAATATGCAAGAGTAAATAAAAAGTAAATTTACACATGACTTTACATTGAATCAAAGGCTGATTTTTTTTAAATTGCAGAAAACTTTAAAGCAAAAGCATTTGTGCATGTGTGTTAACTGTTAATACAGTTGAAATCTAGTTTCTTTGAAAACTGGGTTTGTAGACCATGCTGTGAACAGCACTATGGGAAGATGTTTGTTTTGTGATTAAAACACAGAGCTTAGAGTCTTCATGAATTACGTATTTGAATAATCTTGGATTTTTACCTACATATCCAAATCTGTGTAAATTCTTATGATTTTGAAAATATAGACTTTAATTTTAATGTCAACATGTTTGTAGTTGAAAGGGGTATTTTTGGATATTAAGAATTGATATATCAGATGACTGAATCAAGCACCAGCTCTCACTGTTACTCATCTCCTTGTCTTCTAGGTGGTTTTACTGCGCGATGCTGCTCTCCTTAGGGATGCTCATGCTGTCGGCCACACAGGTCTACACCATCCTGACTGTTCAGCTTTTTGCATTCTTAAACCTACTGCCTGTAGAAGCAGACATTTTAGCAGTAAGTACAGTAAAATTTATCCATGTCTAAAGTCATCTCTTAAAGAAAAACTTTTAGCCCTGAATGATGGAATCTTACGTTTTTACCTACACACATACCCAAGTACAAACACATAGTTACTTGAAAGTGGGGCATCTTATTCCTTTTTTATTGCTTAATATTTAATGTAAGATCTCATGCATAATAAGTACCTGATACATGATGTTGATTTTTGAGCCCATGGGGGCTTGTGCACATATAACTGTAAGTTCATGTGTTTATGTAGTATTTTACTGTTTTTCTTGGTACCAGTGTATCTCTGATGACTTTAAGATCTCAATGGTATCTCTTTTGATAATAATATTTAAACAAATTCTACAAGATGTCCATAGAAAATGTCAACCTAAGATTAGCATTCATGTATCAGAAGAAAACACAGTGATCCTGTCTTTTTTTTTTTTTTTTGTAGAGACAGAGTCTCACTTTATTGCCCTTAATAGTGTGCTATGGCATCACACTGCTCACAGCAATCTTTAACTCCTGGACTTGGGCAATTCTCTTGCCTCAGCCTCCCGAGTAGCTGGGACTACAGGCACCCGCCACAATGCCTGGCTATTTTTTTGTTGCAGTTTGGCCGGGGCTGGGTTTGAACCTGCCACCCTTGGTATGTGGGGTTGGCGCCCTACCCAACAAGCCACAGGTGCCGCCCAGTGATCTTGTCTTTGGTTATAGTTAGAAACGTTCTGAAAGTAGAAAATTGTTCCTTAAAACCTTAGATGTTCTCACTAGGTTACTGTCCTACTGTCTTCTACACTTGAAGTGTATGGACAGTCTCTGACTTTAGATGGTTCAACTAATTAATGATTTTTTTTTTTTTTTTTTTTTGAAATGGAGCCTCAAGCTATCCCCCTGGGTAGAGTGCCATGGCATCACACTCACAGCAACCTCTAACTCCTGGGCTCAAGCGAGTCTCCTGCCTCAGCCTCCCAAGTAGCTGGGACTACAGGCGCCCGCCACAACGCCTGGCCATTTTTTGGTTGCAGCCATCATTGTTGTTTGGTGGGTCCGGGCTGGGGATTCGAACCCACCACCTTAGGTGTATGTGGCTGGCGCCTTAGCCGCTTGAGCCACAGGCACCAAGCCGATTTTTTAACTTTATGATGATGCTAAAGCCATATGCATTCTGATGAATACTCCTGGAGTATGGAGTTATGGAGTTATGTCCCGACAAACCCATTGTAAGATGAAAATATTGTGAGTAGAATTTGACTTATAAAATATTTCTGACTTACGATATTTTTAATTTTTGAGGGATTTATGCAGATGTAACTCCCATTGTAGGTCAAAGAACATTAGTTTCTATTTTCTGTTTCTCATTTTTTTCAAATTAGAAAAAGAGGACATAGCTGTATGTGTGTGCATGTATGCATGTGCACACACATACACCAATACTTTAGGTCTGTGCTGAAGACCTACTGTTTTTACTTTATGATGCAACTGATTTGCTTAGTGATATCAGGTGAGAAATAGAAGGGCTAGAATTAGTGCTTACCAAAGGTTAACGTGGTTCTTACCTGTGCTTCTGCATATTGTGGCACTTCTGGAAGATTCCAGGATCATTATAGAACTTGGGCAAGCCAGGCTGGTTTCCACACTGTAGCTTTTGAAAGCAGAGTAACTTTAGTAGTCTAGTAAGATTTCACACCCTCTGTCACCCTTTTTAGGGAACTTGTTGATTAGGCTTATTTCCTGGAATAGTCTGGGTCTTTTTCATGTGGAGTTGAAGGAGACTCTTTAAGGATTAAATCCACTGCTTTTCAAATCTCCCCTTTAGATTGGTCCCCAAAGTCTTGGGAATATTCTTGCAATGACATTCTCCTGTTTCCCTTTACTCCTTTGATTTCTTCCATTTTGTTTTTCTCTTTCTCCCCTTCTTGTTGTTAATGCTTGTCATTCCTTTTGTCTTCTTTCTTTCTTTTATGCCTGAGGGAGATTTTTATTCTAGGTCCAACTGTCTGATGGGTTAAATGATCTTCAGCAGACTGCTTTGGGACTTAAATAGCTGTATTACCCTGATCAAATTACTTAGCTGCTTATAAACCCCTCAGTTTATTTACAAACTCTGGAGTGTTGTGGTGATGATTAAATAAGCCAAACTGCTTAGAACAGTAACAGGCATGTAGTAAATGTTTTGTGTATCATTTTTAATCTTCATGATTGAGGTGGGTGCCAGCTGCCTCATCACCCCCCCCAGATGGATGCCGGCAGCCTCATGACGGCCTCACACCACCCCCGGGTAGGAGGAAGGGGAAAAATTGGTAAATGAAATGATGCCAAGTACCATTAGTCTTAGATGGGTCTGGATCAGGCGGGAACAGAACAAGATAAGAACTAATGTGCCAAGTACTGTCATGATGAGAGTTAACAAGCTAAGTGCTGTGACAAATTGTTTTACTTACTCACTAATTGCCCGATCTGTTTCATGTGTTGCCATATCTGCTTTATGTGACCTTTACATTACCTATCTGCTAATCCGTTAAATTGCAAGGTTCACGTCTGTAAAAGGGATCATCATGACCCTGTGCTTGCTTTTTGCTTCTTTTGCCAACTTTTAGCTCACCTGTTTGTCCCTTTGCCAACTTTCAGACTAGAAAAACCCCAACTTTAGACCCCTCTAGGCTCTCTGAGTTAGTCTGCTTTAGACTTTGCTGAGACAGCTCTGCGGTTAATAAGACTCCTTTTTAAACTTCTAATTTGAGTCGGTGGTCCTTATCTTGCCCCATAACAATTATAACTATCATTCTAATCATCCCTCACTCACCCTCTCGAGAAGATAGGAAACTATCTGAGCTTTGTTTTTTAATTAGAGACAAAACAAAATGTTATTTGTAGAAGAACAATCCATCCTTTCTGCCAACAGTATTCCCTGTGCATCAGGCATTGATGTGTGGGATATATGTTGATGTCATCTACTAGGGGAACCATGAGCCTGGGTGCTGCTTAAATCTGCTCTCTGTGCTGGCACTGGAGGACAGAGGCTGACTGAATGCAGAGAGCTGGAGGGGAGTAGCTTATGAAAGCATATAACTTGTAAAAAGGGGAACTAAAAATCAAGGCAGAGGAACTGGATGTGACACAATCATTCAAAGGAAGAAAATCAGGAAGTAGAAAACATTAGCTTGCCCTTAGTTGTGTAAGGGCATCCCTGAAATCTGAGCTTGTAGTAAAACAGATTTAAATAAATTGGACATCAGGGTGATTCTGTTTACATTTGCAGAAGAACTGGGATACCTCTTTTGTAAGGAAAAGTCAACTTTGGTTGTATTATTTGTATGCCAAGGTGCCCTTCATTTTGGTGTTTGTAGGGTTTTGTTGTTGCTGTTGGCACTGAATTCCCACTTGACTTTTAACTCTTTGACAACAGTGTTTGTCCAACTAGTTGGTGAGTTCTGAGAGGCTGTGGAGATGCTACTGAAGTATGTCTCTGACCTGTCAGTAAGCCCTATTACCCTGAGTGCCTGGAAGGCAGGACTGTGTCTTCTAAACTTTATGTTCCTGACGCCTCGTGTCAGTTACACAGCAGGGATTCAGTACATGTTTGAGCTTAGTACCTTCCTGTAGAGATTTAGTTCTGTCATATTTTCTTTTAATAGCATTTTTTCCTTGGTACTTTTAGATAATTGTTTTCACCTTTTATCTCATTGTTTCTCTTTCCTTTGACTCCCAAATGAATATAACGTTATTTATATAGATTTATGATAGAAACATGGCATTTTAGAACTGTACTTTAGAGATAACTACATCAGCCTAAATATTCTTAGGCCCACAGACCACAGCTGACTGATTAGCTTTGAGTTGTGCTATGATCTTATTGAGAGAGGTATCCATCTTAGATCTTAGTTTCATAGAGTCAGGCAATCTAATTTTGATTGATCCTCAATCTACCTTTTGGTTTTGTTGTCTAGATTTTTCAGAGAGAATTGGTTTCTTGGATAGTTGTGAGGGTCAGAGATTGAAGTAAGCAGAGAAGTGCCCAACACCTGGTAGTGTGAATGGATTGGATTATATAGCATGATAGTCATGAGCTTCAGCCATGGAGTTATAATCTGAGCTGAATTTCAGCTCTACCTCTAGGTAGTTACCTGACTTTGGGTGAATTAGTTAACACTTCTTAAATTGTAGTTAACTACTTATAAAAGTGGGAATGTATGAAAGACTTCATAGGTAGTAGGTTAAGAGCCAGGGCTCTGGAGCCAGACTGCCTGGGTTAGAATCCTGGTTCTAATTTATTAGAGCAAGTTATTTTCAACCTTTTGTGGTCAGTCCATAGAATAATAATCTCCAACCGTTTTGGTACCAGAGACCATGTTTCAAGGAAGATAGTTTTTTTTCATGGATGGAGTGGGGTGAGGGTGGGGCAAGAGGCAGAACTCAGGCGGTGATACAGGGATGGGGAGTGGCTGAAACTTCACTTGCTTATCTATTGCTTAGCTCCTGCTGTGCACCCAGTTCCTAAAAGGCCACAGACTGGACCAATTTTTGTCACCAATTTTTGGCACCTGTTTCATGGAACATAATTTTTCCATGGATAGGGAAGCGGTGTGGAGCAGATGGGATGGGAGGTGGAGCTCAGGTGATGATAATATGTGGCCTGGTAACAGTTTGTGGTAACAGTTTGTGTACCTCTGCTGGTTGGCAGCCCAGGGGTGAGGACCGCCTTTATTTTGGTGTCCCAAAAGTCACCTCACGTAGGGAAAATGGGAAATTGTAGGTAAATGTGCCTTTATTTACAAAATATTCATTATAAAATTGTATAAAGGAAGACAACAAATAGAGAATATTTTGTGACTATTTTACAAACTTTTGTAATTCATTTTCCGCTATGTCTGATGACCTAGGGGCAGTTTTTGGGACACCTTGTAGAAAGACAATGGTAGCAATTGTGGCCTATTTTTGTTGAGTTTTTGTGAGGATTAGATACATCAGTACCTATAAAGTGAAACATGATGTGCTCAATAATTGTTAACTACTACTTTCTAAATTCAATTAAACCTTCTGTTAAGCCTGCTGGCAAGAAGGATGATTGATAAAGGGAAATACTCCTTCAAAATAGGTGTACTCAGACTGTTACATGGTAACTGCTGAGGGTGGGATTCGAGAGAAGAGCAACTATTTTCTTCTTCAGATTTATTTGACAGTGACTATGCTTTAATGTTAGGAATATCATTCCTCTTTCCCTCATACCAAAAAAGTAAAGCACCTCTGTTTTGTTTTTTTTAATCTTATTTACAGTGGAAATGTTTTTGGTTTTAACCAATGTGATTTTGAGAGGCAGTGTGAGAGAATCCTTATTTTATTGTTAGGGAAATACAAAGTGATTTCAGAGCAAAACTTATTCCAAGTCCCAATGTTACAAGTTCAAGTTATATATTTTATTTCTGTAATTTTAGCAACAAAAGTAAAAATGGGTATTTTAGTATAGTAGTAGATTTTCTGTCTCCTGATTTTAGCAACAAAAGTGATAAATGGGTATGTTAGTATAGTAGTAGATTTTCTGTCTCCTGATTTTAAAATTGCATTTAAAAAGTATACTTATATACATATATATTATTCTTTGGTTTATATTCATTAATCTAGATCACTGTCTTTATATTGGTGTCCTTGGTTTGGAGGATAAATGATTTTCTCAAGTTCAACACTAAGCAGAGTGTAGTTGACTTAATTAAGAAAGATGTTTTAATTAAGAGATTAAATGATAAATTGTGATAATGGGTTTAAAAGCACTCTAAAGCGTTTTGTAAACTATAAAGTACTCTGCAAATACAAACTATTGTTGCTGTTATGGCAGTGGGCAGTCACCCAAAAGCAATTACCATGTATACTTCCTGGTCTCCAAGTACACTACTAGACTGATTATCCCAGAGGTAATGGGATGGATAGGTACTGTGCCCAAATTCAGGCGCTTGAATCACAGAGTTTATTGAATTAATTATAAACATACAGTGAGAAGCAAAGATAAAAGCTGGGTGTGCTAAGTGCACTTAGAACCAGGTTTGGGTGAGATGTAAGAACCACACTACCTGAATCCTGTGTTACCTGTTACAGTTTGTCTAGTCTCTCTCTTCTGCTGCATTAGCTTGCCCTGTTGACAGTGTGATTAACAGGACCTGAGCTGAGGGTAAGCCAGGGGGACTTGACAGTTAGAAGGTATCTGGATCCAACATTTGCTTGATTGATTGGAGAAACCCAGGGCATTCATACTTGGTAACAGCTACCACTTGCTGTTAAACTGTGGAGCTGTTTATTTGCATGCCTGTGTCAGATGACACAAGAGACTAGAGTGGGGCTCACTAAAGGGTATTTGATTTAGGGATGACAGCTGTTAATTTAGACATGTGACCTAATCCATGTTTTGTGAATATTTAAGGTTTACTTGATTCTTGTATCTTTTTCTAGCTCTATAACACTCTTACTTTGTTCCTTTTGTCCATCTTCAAACCATCCTTTTGATTTACATTCAAAACAAATGTGTTCTTTTTTTTATTTACAGCCTACAGCTTATGGATTGACTGTTTTAATTTCTAGCATGACTGACTTTTCATTGGTGATTCAAAAGTTACTTTTTTACTTTTCTATGCTAATTTTATCCACCTTTCTTACTTCTCTTGCTTTCTATATAGCGGATTGAACATTGTTAAATAATGTTCAGTTATTTATTTATTATCACTATTATCTTCAAAAAATATAACAAACTCTTGTTTTGTTTTATTTTAGAAGAGAACTAATAAATATTGTAGCATAGGAATCTTTGTTTGTATGGACATAGCAAAAAATTTGAATACCTTCAGCTTTCTCTGTGTATGTATTTCATTGAGTTTAGTCTTTTGATTATATAGCCCTGGATAAAAATGTTTAGTTTATGTCAAAATTGACAATGCCTTAAAAATATCATTTGATGCTGTTTTTTTCTCCGGTAAAGTCATCTTTCGTGTAAATCCCTCCTGTTAAACTGTTATAATAGAGAGAAAATAAAATGGAATTCTCTTGCTGGAAGATGATCTGTCTAGAATATTCCTTGCTAGGAAATTGTCTGCAGGAAAAACTCAGCAGCAGGATGTTTAATGTTACAGAATTACCGTTTGAGAATAATGTATGAAATAGAAATCCAATTTAAGCAGTAGTATATGTTGTAAATTGTGTTTTTCTTTGCTATTTTAGTGGATGCACATTTACAAAGTTCATTTTAGTGCAGTAAAATGACTGTTATAGTAAATCAGAATGGTAGAAATAATCTACATAATTTAATAAACTTTTGTTTTTAATGTTATATGTAAATTGGTTTTAACGTGATTATTTTTAATTTTATATTTAGTATAATTTTGAAAATGCATCTCAGACATTTGATGACCTTCCAGCAAGATTTGGTTATAGACTTCCAGCTGAAGGTTTAAAGGTAAGAAAAGATAATAATATATCTTAGGTCATAAGGTGATTTTTATTGTTCATTGTTACTTACAGAATGAAAACATTTCTTACTATTTATTATTATAAAACCCATATGTAGTCATTTGTAGAAGGTACTCAAACTATTCAAAAGATCTGAAAAAGAAAGTGAAAAATCACCTGTGATTGCATTATTCTAGACTAGCCACTGTTAACATTTTGGTACATGATATGTCAGACCTGTTTTTCAGCATATGTGCCATGTGTATGTGTGATTGTAGATGTATGTACATATGTGTATATATTTATTTATGTAAATGCTGACATATATAGCTAATCTATATTTAATACTAATGGAAACATGTCACTTGGTTACTCAACTTTTTCACTTGTGTATCTTTTCATGCTGATAGGAAAGGATCTACATTATTATTTGTAATGGCTGTATGGTTTTACAACATCATGAAATAGTATGGTTTTTGAATATTGATTTAATTTTTCATAGTAGACATTTAGGTTGTCCAGCTTTTACTTTTGCAAACATTGTTGCAATGAGTATTTTCATACTTGTGTTCATCCATTTTTTCTATAGGACATATTTCCAAATGTAGAATTCCTTTATTCCTGGCATACACATTCAAATTTTTTATTCTGTATTTCTGGGTTGCCTTCCAGAATGTTTGGGACAATTTAGAATTCCATCAATAATGTCTGATCCTATCTGTCTAACAAGGGTACAAGTGAACTTTTCTAGAACTAGAATATAAATGTTTTGACACAATGACTATGCAAATGACATGAAATTTATGTGAACCAGCTTGATGAAAGTATTTCAAAATGTATATGAAAACACTACACTGTACCCCATGTTTGCATTAATGTATACAGCTATCATTTAATAAAAAAATAAAAATAAAAAAAAGAGAAAGGAAAAAAAATTAAAATTGCTTCTGCATGTAAAAAAAAAAAGTCTGATCCTGTCCTTTTTCTCACACCCTCTTTAATACTAGATATGATCAAATTTTGGCTAATTTGATAAAAAAAGGAAATAAAGTTAAACATCTTAATGTTTTTTGTTGTGTATGGGTGTGTGTTGGGAATTGACTACTCTTTGCCTCTTTTAAAATTAAGATAGCTCTCTTTTTTATAGTGATTTGTATGAGTTCTTTATATATTGGAAGTATGGATTTATTGTTTTCATGTATGTTTCAGATGATTTCCTCAAGTTTTTCCTTATCTTTTAATTTTGTTTAAGGTTTAAGAAGTTTTTTGTTGGGCAGTGCCTGTGGCTCAGTGGGTAGAGTGCTGGCCTCATATACCAAGGGTGGCGGGTTTGAAACTGGCCCCAGCCAAATTGCAACAAAAAATAGCCGGGCATTGTGGTAGGCACCTGTAGTCCCAGCTACTTGGGAGGCTGAGGCAAGAGAATTGCCCGAGCCCAGGAGTTGGAGGTTGCTGGGAGCTGTGACGTCACAGCAATCTACAGAGGGCGATAAAGTGAAACTCTGTCTCTTAAAAAAAAAAAAACGAAGAAGTTTTTTGTTTATGTCGTTTAAAGTTATCTTTTTTGATTGCCTCTGGGATTATGGTTAAAAAGTTCTTCCTCATTCCAAGATACGATGAAGTTTTTGTGCTGTGTAAGTTAGAATAAATGAAATTGTGTAGATAATTCTACAGAGTGTTTTTAGTTTGTCCTGACTTTCTTAAAATTTCTTGTTGAAGTATCACAAACCTGTTATTCTCAGTTTGGATAGCAGGCACCTCTGGGAGAGGTGTATTAGCTTTTAATTTTAATTTTAATTTTTTTGTTAAGGAGGCCTGGGCTGGGTTTGAACATGCCAGCCCTGTGCTCTAACCACTGAGTATAGGCACCGAGCCTCAGCTTTTAATTTTTTAAAAGATTGAATTATTTTTAAAAAATTCCCTGCATTGGCTCAGCGCCTATAGCTCAACCGGCTAAGGCGCCAGCCACGTACACCTAAGGTGGTGGGTTTGAATCCCCAGCCCGGACCCACCAAACAACAATGACGGCTGCAACCAAAAAATAACAGGGCGTTGTGGCGGGCGCCTGTGGTCCCAGCTACTTGGGAGGCGGAGGCAGGAGACTCGCTTGAGCCCAGGAGTTGGAGGTTGCTGTGAGCTGTAATGCCACAGCACTTTACCCAGGGGGACAGCTTGAGGCTCTGTCTCAAAAAAAAAAAAAAAAATTCCCTGCATTGTATAACTATTTCTCATTGTAATGATACTTAATTAGAAAAGAAATATACCTTAAAAAAAAGAAACACCTTTTTTATTCCTTCCTTATCTATAGACATTAGTCACACTTCCATTTTCAGAACTAATTATTTTTAGTGATTTCATAAACCTGTACATATAGTGCTTCTTAATTCTTTTTTGTTTATTTTTTGTAACTTGTGTATATGAAACTTTTTTAATTCTTATAGTAGAATCTGTACTAGCTAGTTTTACGTAGAAAGAGATTTTTTTTTTGTTTGTTTTTCTTAGAACATTTTAGGCTTTCAGAAAAGTTGTGAGAACTTTTCCCAGACTGGCAGCTGTTACAGTCGTGCCACACCTCCCCACTTGCCTCTCTCTGTCCACCTTCTTTTGCACTGACCCGTCTGAAAGTAAATAGCAGCTACTGTAATCCTATAGCCTCCTTCTGCCAAGATCGAGGACTTCCCAGGAGAGAACAAGGACAGGCAAGTTATCCAAGGCTTCCAGTGCCCCGGGCATGTCCTTCAGGGCTTTGTGCAAATCCTGGGATCCAGTGGGAAATTTCTTATTGCATTTCCTTGTCTCCTACCTTTGCATTCTGGCCCCTCAACAAGGACAGGTTTGATAAGTCCAAGCCATGGTCTGGAGGGGCCTGATCATTACTTCTTGGTCAGACCCAGGTTGGACAATTTTGGCAAGAGTGATGCTGGGTGATGCCACAGCTGTCACGCCAGGAGGCTTGCAGTGTTAGTCTTTCCCTTGCCAGGCCATGCTGACAGTGATCACCTGGTTGCCATTTCTTTCTCTTAGCTTCTATTGAGGGCCCTTCTGGGTTACACACTTCTCTTGTATCCTCAGGTGGCTAGCAAAGTGAGGCAGCCCTCTGGGGTCTCTTTTCTAAGGGCTCTGATCCCATGAGGGCTCCACTCTTATGACCTCATCACCTCCCAAAGGCCCCACCTCCATATACCATCACCTTGGCGATTAGGATTTCGACACACAAATTTTGAGGGAACTCACTTGGTCCATTGCAGAGCCCTGGTTCCTTATAGGAGGGTGGTCTTTGGAAATCAGTTCTGGACGTGTTCACTGCTTCTGGGCTGTCACTGCTCCTAGGCACTAAGGACAGAGTGAGGAAATTCCCTACAAGCCCCTCCCAATGCCCCAGTGCTACCATGGTCCATCTCCCCCCACCCCCAACATGTCTGTGCCTCCCTTCAGAACAAGTCTATTGAAATGTCTGGGGTATAGCTGGGTAGGTGGCTCAGGCCTGTAACTCCACACTCTGGGTGGCTGAAGCAGGAGGTTCACTTAAGGCCAGGAGTTTGTGGCCAGTTTGGGCAATGTACCAAGACCCTGTCCCTAAGAAAAAAGTTTTTAAATTAGCCAGGCGTGATGGTGTGCACGAGTAGTCCCAGCTTGCCCAGGAGGCCAAGGCAGGAGGATTTCTTCAGCCCAAGGGTTCAAGGCTGCAATGAGCTGTGATCACGCCATTGCCCTCCAGCCTGGGTGACAGGGTGACATCCCATCTCTAAAAAAAAATTGCTCTTGGGAAGAAGCATACAGAGAAGGGAACCCAGGAGAGAAAGAATTTCTACTATATCAGTGTGTCCCTAACCAGCAGCCCCGTGACTTCAGCCAGGGGCCAGAAGAAGGATAAGCTGCTTGGGACCCCAGGACCCCTCTGAGGGCTGCTCCATGAAGGGACCTACAATGGCAGGAGGCTTAGGGGATAACCTGGGGGCTGGATAGGCCCTGCATTCAGGTGCCTGTAAATTTCTGTTCGCATTTTTTAAAAACATGTACTATGAAGATATGGCAGAAAATTCCAACAGTGCAGATGGCCAGGAAGCACAAGTGGAGGGCAACTTGCTTGTCAGAGGCCATCTGCAGGCGGCTCCTGGGTCCTTTCTCAGATGCCTTGCAAACACAGACTCAGAATGATCTAGCAGGATGGTTTTCCTCAATGTCTTATTCCCACTGCCACTCATATCAGGTTTTGAGGGCTGCTGAAGTACCACCGAGTGGAGGGCTTATAGCCCTAGACCTTAACTTCCTTGGTCTGGAGGTGCTGGTGGGGCTTTGAAGGTCCAAATGGGCTCCGCCCTGGCCTCCCCTCAGCCTTTGGTGTTCCTTGGCTTATTGGAACCTGCTCGCCACCTTCATTTTCAGGTAGAATGGTGTGTGTGTGCATGTCTGTCCAAATCCACCTTTTAAAAAATATTTATTCTCGACAGAGAAAAGCGACTTCAGGGCTTTTTTTAGGAGCATTTTTCAGGTGCTGCCCAGGTCTCCCCCAGAAAGGAATTTATAAAGTTCAAAGTATCATAGCCTAGAGATGCAGTTTCCACAGTGTTGCAGGAGTGAAACCCAGAACTTCCAAGAGGCTGCACTTGGCCCGGCGCCCATAACACAGGTGTTACAGCGCCAGACATATACACTGAAGTTGGCGGGTTTGAACCCAGCCTAGGGCAGCTAATCAACGATGGCAACCGCAACAAAAACTAGCCAGGCGTTATGGTGGGCTCCTATAGTCCCAGCTACTTGGGAGGCTGAGGCAAGAAAATCACTTGAGCCCAAGAGTTAGAGGTTGCTGTGAGCTGTGATGCCATAGCATTCTACATAGAGCGACCTAGTGAGACTCTGTCTCCAAAAAAAACCCAAAGAGGCTCCACATGATCTTAGTAAAAGGGCAAGAAGCCATAGGACCAGTTTCAAAGGGGACTGGTGGAGCCACTGGGTACACAGACCAAATTGTTTTTTCTCTCATTTGGAAGCCTCAAAACATTTCTG